AGATTAACCTTCAGGGTGGATATAGCTCGCTAGCAGCCTCACACCGAGGACCTATCCACGTCATCATTTACCCAGAATGCTTTGTGTGGAAATAAAATGGCTCCGTCTGTGTTAAAATAGATTTTTAAAAATGTACAAAACTAAACAACCTACAGTATTTTTACAGTCATTATTTTACAGTTAAAATAAATGTTTATCTAATAAAGTCTGTTACAACTAATCACGGATCCCTTTAAATGATATTTCATTTAGTTTGTCATGGAAACATGTTTCCTGTTTCAGGACAATAAACACCTAATTGCCAACAGCAATAAAACAACTGACTGTAAAGTTTTTAAAATTTGGAATAAAACATTGATTCAAAGATAAATCTTGTTTTTAACAGACAGCTACAGTTCTACAGTATACATTCTTATCTGTTTTTATTTATTTTTTACGTTTCTGCATATTTTATTGTAGACATCTTGATTTAAAAAGGCTTTTGATACTTTTAACTTTAAGTTTAGTTTCAGCTTTAACTCCAGCCAAGTCAGGTAACCTGATTCAAACTGCAGTTTTACAGAAAATCTGATTTCTTTATTTGAGTCTGTAAAGTTTTTTTTTATTAATGTGAACAGGATGTTAATATTCTCTGCTCTGATCTGGTGAAAAAACCAAACCTTTTCATACACACCCTCGTAGTCCATGTCCCAGTGGCCCTTCCTGATGGAACCATTATCTGAGCTGGACGGTGGTCTGGCAGGAAGGTTAGGAGCCACGCTGCACACGACCGGCCCCTGTGTTCTCGAGGATCCACTTCCTGATGAACCAATATGGCTGCCAGGCCTCAGAGACCTGAAGGGGGTGTGGTCCAGGTTGTTGGTGGGGCTGACCAAAGACTTCATCTCAACTGGTTTGACATCTTGGCTCTCTGCCTTCAGGCTCTTGGTCAGAYTGGTTGGAAAGTAGCTGTTCGTGTCAACAAGGAAGTTTAGTTCAGTGTTACTGTGTAGTTTTGTGCAAAACCGTATTTTACTGATACATTCGGACAATAAAACCAGATCAAATCAGATTCTGCTGCAACATACCCGTTAGAATCCTGCACACAGACGGGCGTCTTCTTCTTCCTCTGCTGAACGTAACGCACCCTGACGCAAACAAAGACGCCCACCATGAAGACTATTCCCAACACACCGGCACAGGTCACCAGGACGTCCATGTAGCCGGTTAAGGGAGACACCTGGCAGGAGGACAGGGCGTGAATACGATGCAGTAAAATACTTGAATGTTCTGTAAAGATGATMTAAAACTGACCGCGGGCAGAGGATCACAGTAGATGTTGCCTTCAGTGACTCTACAGTCGAAGCCTCCGGCACACTGACTGAGGGAACAGACTTCCACCTCGTTGTGACATCTAAACATTCAAACAGAAGACGGGAAAAGGAAACACATTTTCTYAATGCGGGGGTCATATTGTTCTCCTACTGTTTATTGTTTTTTTTTTTTTATTATTATGACCCCCGCACGCGAAGCGTAAAGGGCTCGACACACGGGAGGCGACGTCGCTCGCTCTCCATTCATTTCCTATGGAGCCTGTGCG